CACCTTCTTGCCCAAAGTCGCAGGGCCACAGGGAGCTGCCAGGAAAGCTGAGCTTCACCAAACCAGCACTCAGGCCCGGGGCATCCCACTCAGATTCCTCACCGCTTCGTAACCTCTTAATGGCTTCATCTAATTGAAGGACAAATGTGGCTGTTGCTTTTTCCAGATGGTCCCGGTCTGAGGGCAAGGAAGTGAGCAGAGTAAGGCTCAGGGTCAAGTCCCAAAGGTGCCACAGGTCCACTCCCTGGTCTCCGGGCTGTGTCTCTCACCAAGGAACAAGCTTTTGACCGAGGTGTCATCTGTCAGGAAGATGGACTGGAGGCTTTGGGACAACTCGACGGGTGGCCCTGGGGGGCCCCAGAGAATTTGCAGGTCATATTCCAGCATGGCAGGCAGTGCTGGCCAGCAGTGGAAGCAGCTGTTGTCACAAGCTGAGGGCAGGGGGCAGGCGAGCAGGAGCAAGAACAGCAGCATCTTCTGGGGTCCTCGCGCTGTAACCTGCTGCTCTCCCTGACAACTGCATTTGGAACACAGCAACTGCTCCCCCTGGCAACTGCATCGCCATGCTGGATCAAAGGTGGATTCCACAGGAGGGCCGACTGTGGTGAGGCCAGGCTTTGTTGTTCCCAGTCAAGCACGGACTTCGTCCTTTTCTTACTCAAATCTTGGTCCTTGTGTCTGGTCCCAAATCAAAATAACAAGAACAAGGCTCTGGGGTTAAGGAGGACTTAATCTGTACAGCTTAGAGGGTAGCAGACCTCCTATCCTCAATAATTTCCTCCCCTTAAGAGGGTGTTTGGTGGTATTGAAAGGGCAAGGGAGGGCGTGGCTAGGAATAAGGACCACATCATATTCCTCATGAATATTGTCACTATCCAATCTCTCCAATATAATGTGAAAAAGGAAGAGGAATTGTATGCGAACAGTAAGTTTCCTAACTTTTAGGAGAAATATCTGCCCTCTCGTGGGGCAAAAAATCTGGTGAGAATACAAATGGTCTCTTCTGACCGCACATGACTCCTGTGCAAGAAGGGAAACCCAGCTGGTGTCTGGTAGTGAGGAGGGAGTTTGGAATTGTCTGTGAACATGGATTCTGCTTGAGAGCTGCCTGCCTGTGCTATGGATCTTCATTGCAAAATGCTTCCAGTGGCTGTCTGATTTCCGGGCTGGTGTGATGGTGAATTTTAGGTGTCCACTTGATTAGAATCAGAAATACTCAGGAAAGCATGTTTTCCAAACTTCCCCCTCTCAGCGTCTTTGTTCCATTCCTGGGCTTTTTCCTCTCTGCAAACATGCCCTAAGCCTTCAAACCCAGGGACCTGATGTTTACCAAGTTGAAAGGCTATCCACACTGGCTCACCCAGAACCATGACATTGCCCATGCTACTGTGAACCCTCCTCCCAACGAATATCCCCCACCTTCTTCTTTGGCAGCCATGAAACACCCTTGCTGGGGCCCAAGGACCTGCTCCTCTACAGGTGCCAGGACACGTATGGCAAGTCTGATAAGAAGAAAGGCTTCAGTGAGGGACTGTGGTGACCCAGAACAACTGTCACACCTGCGTTTGGTAAACAAGGGACTTGTGAACCTTGACAGCTAGGTCAGGCCTGGGAGGAGGAGTCCATTGTTAGGGATCTGAGGTCACCCCCTGAGGACCACCCAGCTGAGCCCCTTCCTCAGACAGGACATCCCCTAAGGCTGTGTCAGCTGCTGACTACCCTCTACGCCACACCACATGCACACCTCACACAGTTACACCAGCACTCTACGCAGCAGCAACCCAGGGCAGGCCTAGGGCAGCCAGCGACCCAGATGGGAGGAGGAGCATCTAGCATTAGATCAAGTGGATCTTCTCTGAGCACTCCTGCATCTACAGCTACGTCCCTGGACAAGCCCTTGGGCTTCTCAGGGCCTTCTCAGTCTCCCCTTTGTTCCCGGGGAATGTACTCAGATGTACTGACCAAACACCTGGGTGACCTGTGAACCCTAAGGCTTGTAACACCCAAGCTTAGAACAACTCAACACAGAACCCCAAGAAGGACTCTGACAAGGAATTGGACATGCTGCCTCCACCCAGGGGTCCTCATGTGTGAGCCAGGGAAAGCCACTTACCCCCTCGCCCCCTCCTTGTGTCACGGGAAGGTTGAGACGTACAAGAGTGACAAGACCCTTCCTCCAGCTGCCAACACATTCAGAATCTGCTCAGGGCTGCCTCTGGATACCTGAGTTCGGCAGCCCCAATAAAGACACCCAGTGATAACCGTCTCCTGGTACCCAAGTCCTGTGATGCCCTCTCCTCCAGGTGGACTGGACTTGGGGTCTGGCAAAAGTGGATGAGAAGATACTGCTCCAAGGGTGTGAGTCCATGTCTGTAGCTCTTGTGTGGTCTCTGCTCAGCTTGCTTTATAAGAACAGGCTATGATATAAGGTCTCCCTATAGACGGGCCCCAGGAAAAGGAAACAGAGTCTTGAAGTTCAGGTTCTCAGCCCAGTCTGCATCATGCCAATGACAGGACATTGTTGAGCCATGACTGAGAGCATGATTAGGACAGGATGCTGATTGACCTGAGTTTGGGTTCCAGTAGACAGATACTGTGGCATCAGAAATGTATGTCCAACAGCAACCGGACAGGCCCAGGTCACAGGATCAATCCTGCCTTATGCCTGCCCTCCCTCTATTCTCATACAGCCCCTTCCATCCCAGTCATACTCACCTCTGCTCCAGTTTGTTCCGTCCCCCCACACTGTGGCTCCAGGACTCAGACACAGATGGCTGATTATCAGTGTCACCTTAGCAACACCATTTGCCCCAGCTCTGCCCCACAGCCTTGCCTTCATTTTTCCTCCAGGACTTTTTCTTTCTCTAGGGTCACATTGGAGCTTTTGTGTCTCCCTATCTCCAGCCTGAGCAGGTACTTGACAGCCATTTCAGAGGCACACCCATGTTCAGCAGGGTTCTTCCAGGACATGACTGGGGCACAGGTGCTGATGTCAAAGATGAAGGGGCCCCTGGGATCCCTTCTCCAACCGAGAGCTCACACTGCAGTCATGGATGTTAGGGAACAGGATGTGCTGGCTGGGGCCAGGGACACATACCCTGACCTTGGGGTTGCTCCTGGCTCCTGTGGTGCCACCGGCACTGGCACACTGCTGCTTTCTTTGCGTCAGATCCAATTTCAGGCACAGGTTCCTGGAAAGCTCAGGACCCTTGGGTTTGGGAACCCAAGCAGTGGGGCTCTCAGTGGCCACTCTCTGGGGAACTCACCAGAAAACTTCCAATGTTCCCATAGAGGAATGGTTACAGCCCCCTTCTCATTGGGAAGAGCACAAACCACTGACTGCTTCAGGTGACATGTGAACACCAGACCAGTAAGGGCTAGGTATGCCATGGTCACATCCAGCCAGAGATCCTTCCAGAAGAGCACACTGATTTTCTACCTTTTCAACAAAGCATGTCATCATTGTGTGGGCTCCGTGCAACCTGCTGCAGGAATCGTCTCCAGTCTCTGCTCTCCTGACAGGCTGCAGTGCAGAGCCACAGCCAGGGCTGAGGCCGGGGGTGTCCACATGGCTCACGCTCCTGCACCTGCCTGCTCTGATGGAATCAAACTCCCAGCTGCCTCTGCGGGAAGGTAACGGGGGTCCCCTCGGCAAGGAATAAGGAACCCCAGTCCTGCACAGCTCAGCATGCATTTCGCAAGCTGAACCTTGGAGGATGGTTTCAATACAGGCCTGAGACTGAGCAAGTGCTCATGTGTTTAAGGCTATTCACCAAATACACAGCACACACATTACACACAATATGCACACATTCTCACTAAACCTGCCACAGACACACTACACACACGAACACACACATATACAGATCCACAGGACATACACTGCACAGTGCACACACATGCTCATTATCCCATTGGAAACACAACACACATCATAAATATATGCAATGCACACATAATTCAGACCATCATACACACCACACACATCACATACACACACGCTCCCTGGAGCCAGTACAAACATACTACACACATAGTACTTACATACAATGAACACACAATGAAGACTCACAATACACACTACACACATTATAGACACATGCAAATTAAAATGACAAGACATACTGTACACACTAGGAACATACGTATGCAAACATATGATATAGAGACCCACTATTATATATACATTACACATTTTACAAAACAAACTAAAAGGATCACAGAATTCAACCATAACTACAAAATGATACAATTCTTAGGAGATGAGACAGGACCAAATCTGGCTGGCTTTGACAATTAGGATGTTTATACATTTGTTTATTTATTTGACAGAAGTTTCTGAGAGAGCAAATAAGGTAGAGCTCTTCCATCTGCTGGTTCATGCTCCAGATGGCCAGGACAAACAGGGCCAGGCCAAAGACAGGAGACAAGATCTGGATCCCAAACTCCCTTGTGGGTGGGCAGCAGACCTTGAGACACTTGGCCCCCTTCCACTGCTTTCCCAGGTGCTCTAGCAGGGAGCCAGGTCAGAAGTGAAGCAGCTGGGACCGCCATTGGCAGCCACATAGGATACCAGTACTACAGATGGCAGCCGTCCCCATGAGCCATGCTTTTAACCACTCCAAAACGATCCACGAGATGATAAGGGTCCACGCCTTGGTCAGGAAGTCTGAGACTGGTCTCACCCAGGGGAAGGGCCCAGGTCACTGCTGGCAGAAGGTGCTAGTAGTGGCCACTATGGAACGTGTGCTGGAGGAAGCCACTGGGGCCGTGTACCGGTGTGCACATCTGTGTATTTGTGTCTACTGTCTATGAGCACGACTGTGTGTGTCTGTGTGAGGATCTGAGTGATGACAGACGGCAGGGACAGCCTGCACTTCAGCTGAGCAGCTCAGCTTCAGGAGTCTTTCTAAAGGGGGAAGACGTGGAATCACAGCGCCCTTCCTCCCAGAACCACCTGGAGCACAGAACAGCGCCAAACCTCGTCTTCTCTAAGGCCCTCATGGGTTTCGCATTTTCTGGTTATCCTTGGGCACAGTCAGAAGCCTCAGTTTCTTTAGGACGGAGGGCCAGTCCAGTAGCCAATCACCCCACAGGTACTCTGGGGACAGCACCTTGGTGGGCTTGTGGTGCAGTAGGTACTTGTTCAGGTGGCTCTCGTCATGCCACACGGCCTCGATGCCATTGGCCTTGTCAATCACAATGGCCTGGTGACAGGCACTGGCGAGCTGCTGCACCTCGGCCACCGAGCCCCCAAAGAAGGCTCCAATGTAGTAGAAATCACCCCTGTCCCAGGGGATATATGCCTGGGACTTCCACCGACGCTCGTAGGTGAAGGCCTTGCGGCGGGCTGAGTAGAATCTAGGGTGCAGGGTGCCAAAGAGTGGGGTGAGGATCTCCACCCCAACATGGTCCCAGAAGACCATGTCCACATCAGCGCACACCAGGTAATCCACCTCGTGGCGAAAGCGCTGCTGAGAGAAGATGCTGATCGCCTCCATACGGTGCATGGACACGTCCTGCCAGCGGGCATGGCTACGCACAGAGAGCACCACCAGCTGCCGGCCCTCCCCGAGCGGCACTCGAGACACGTTGGCCGGCCAGTCGGTGAAGACATAGTAGGTGACGCGGTGTCCCACCATGAAATGCTGTTCTGCCGACTCTAGGAACCTCTTCAGGAAGACCATGTACCTGCCGGTAGGTAGAAAGCTGGGCTGTAGACCCTCCTTAGCACCCCACCCCAGGGCACCACAGGTACCTGGGCGCTTGGGGACACAGGACCTCCAGAGGCTGCAAGCAGCTGAGGCACCAGATTCTCCTGTCCTGTCTCAGATGTGCTCATGGTTGGGTCTCACTTAACCCCTTCCTCCCAGGGGACGGGGGCATGCTAGCTGAGGTCAGGAGCATTAAGGTACAGCAGGAGGATATGCAATAACACAAATGGGGGTGGTGAATGAGATTCCCCTGAAGACCCTCTGTGGTGTCCCTACACTAGCCTGCATGAAACTCAGCCTGTTGGGCTCCTGTGCACAGCTGGCAGAGCTGCTTGGAGACTGTGAAGACGCTCTGCCTCTCAGGGCCTGAGCCCCAGTGTCACACCCCAGCATCCCTTCCCCCAGAGACCTGAAGGTAACCTGCTGTCAAGGTCCTCTGTAAACCACTGACTTCCCACCGTGGCAGAGGCTGCTCTCATCCTGTGCATGGTGGCAGGTTGGGCAGAGCAGGGATGCCTGCAGGAGGCAGTGAGAGAGAATCCCTGGTGGAGCATCTCGGCCTTATCTCCTCAGGAATGTCTGCAAAGCCCTGCAGGAGCCCTGTCTCTGTCCACCATGATAGGCACCCTGTGTGCCAGGACACTCGCAGGCACCAGCTGAGGAGCTGCCACCTTCTCTCATCTCCCTGGGTCTAAGATGTGTACAAGCCCACGGCTGTCTGCCCCGGGTAGCCATTTCTGTCACAGGATCACCTCACCGTGTGTAAGTAGCCCAGGCCTTCCCCCATAAGGTCTGTCAGGCTCTCTGACTGATAAATCTGCCTGAACTCTATGAGCTTTGAACCTCACAGATGGAAGATGGGAGAAAGTCACCCAAGAAGGAAGGGACAGGTAAGGCCTAGGCCGTGTATCTCAATTCCAAGACCAGAAGCTCCAGTGTGTGTGTGTGTGTGTGTGTGTGTGTGTGTGTGTGTGTGTGTGTGTGTGTGTGTGTGTCCCTGCCACAGGAGCACATCATCAAGTGCTTTGGGTGGTTGGTCCCACCGTGAGGAGCCCTAGGGCCATGTTCCCTCGCCATGGGGCTGGACCTGGCTGAACAACTGCAGCCAATCCCACACGTGGCTCATTAGTGGATTCCTCAGGGAGAGGCAAGTGCTGCAGCTAAGTGGAAGCACGCACAACCCACCTATGTTGACGCCACCCTGTAGGAGTGAGGCTTGAGGTCAGAATCCTCTCATGTGCCTCCACTCATCACCTCCCCAGGGCCCGGGCTATCACTGTTGTCACCAATCCTGCCCTCCAAGGCTCCATGAGGGCCAGCCAGCTGCACTGTGGCCCCTCTGCACTTCCTGGTAAGACCCAGAGTCCCAGGGCCTGGAGCTGAGTCATGACACTGCCTGTATTATTCGGCAGCTCACAGGAAGAACCCCACCAGTGTGCCCTGCATTTAGAGAGCAAACAGTGCCCCTCTTCCCATCCTGGAATCCAGAGGTCAAGGTGGTGGCCCCAGCTGTCTGCTCAACCATCCCAGCTACTCACTTCTTCACGGCAAACACAGTCAACCCAACAGTCATGTTCTGCAACCGGAACTGCTCATTCAAGAGGGCGATGTTGAATGTCCCATCCCAGATGATGGGAGCCAGCCACGGGGTCACCACAAGGACGTCACTTCTCCTGCACAGGGAGAGAGTCCCATAGCAACATGTGAGCCGAGAGCGGGGTGAACACACACAGCTGCCCCCCATCCCAAGACCCTCTATTCAGACTCCATCTTCCAGCATTTCCCAGGGCTGGCCCCATTAGAAAGGGACTTGGCAGGAAACCAACTACAGAAAACAACAGATTCCAGACAGGCAGTGTGTAGCCAGCTAGGACCAGCCCTCAGGCCCTGCTGGCCCACACAGGAAGGGAGGTCCTCCCAACAAGGGCAGGAGGCCACTCCCCAGTGTATGCAAGACTCTGTCACAGCCTTGAACATTCCTTGATGGATAAACGGATAGAAAGCAGGGAAGCCAGATTAGGGAAATGAAAGGTGGACAGGGAGCATTGCGGGGCCTTCAGATTCAGGCCTCACAGAACCTAAGTGGAACAGCTTCCCTGAGCCCCAGATATGCCACTCCCTCCTCTGCTATCCACGTCACCACTAGTTCCCCGTGAAATGTCTGCTAGTCAAGTCACTTACGAGGGAGTCAGTGCCTCAGGCTGGGGATACGCCATGCTGCAAAACAACAAGGCACCATGTGTGAGTCTCCGTGAATGATGGAGCATACCAGCTGCGGGTGGTGTGCAGGGCAAGCAGCCCCACACAGGCTGCCCTGCGCCCACCTGGCCCATCATGCGGGGATCCTGGGTAAGGTCATTCAGAGGCTCTAACTCAGCATTGGTACACTAGAGAGAGCAACTGAAGAACCTCAGGGTGATGGGAAGGATTTTCAGAAGTCTGGGGTTCATTTTGGGTACAGAGGAAGCTAGATGTGATCTTGGCTCCTGGGAGGATCTGGGGGTGAAGGCCAGATCATGGGCTTGCTCTGTCCCTCCCTGGCTGCTCTCTAGCCCAGGCCACGTGGTTTCTTGCGTGGGAAACAGGAGAGCAGCAGCTCATGCCTTGGCTGTCATGGGATCTGCTCTGAAGGTGGTGTGTGACCCTGCCCCCACCTGGAGCATGCAGAGCCCAGGAGTGAACCAGGGTTCATTCTCAAGGCAGCCATGCCCGCACCAACAGGGGCCACAGTGAAGGTGCCATGCTGCGAGGGTCGAGCCATCACTGAGGATTGCCCAGGGAACAACTGAGGAGGGCCTGGAGGAGCACTGACAAAGGGGGTGCCTGAGGTCAGGTGAGGTCCAGAGGGAATGTCTCCCAGGGACAGAATCTTGGATCAGAAAATGAAGATTCCCCAGAGTGTGAATGTGACGACTACACAGAGTGGCCGAGCTCGCTGCCGCTCATGTGTACTTCCAAATGCTGGGGGACATGACAGTTCTGTCCTTTACCACAGTTATAAATCTGAACAGTAGGGGAGAGGCCCACGAGGCCCATGAGGCTGGCAGTTCCAGCCATGACAAAGGCCCCATCGCAGGGGCCAGCTCCCTGACCTTCCTCGGCAGCCCGGTGTCCACCACATGAGAAGCACAATGACGTGCCCTGCCACTGGGTCTCCCAGGAACTGTGGGACGAGGGCAAATTCAGAGCACAGCTTTGGGAAAGAGACACCTAGCTCCCTGAAAGGCTGGCAGATGGGGGCTGCCCAGCATCTAGAGCTTCTATTCAGGGCACAGACAACCCTAGGGCAGAGGGTAAGACTACAATGGGGAGGACTGAACGAGGCAGTGATACCTGGGCAAGGCGACCACTTGCCAGCCATCGGGGTCTCTAACAGCCATACTGCAGAATGAAACAAGAAGAGATAAGTTTGGTATCAGGCGCAGAAGGAAGTTCATAGAACCTGGGGGCCCGCAGGGGCAGAGGTGGCTGGGGCATGCAACAGAATCTGAAACCATCACATCGCATCACTGTGCCAGTTGTCTTGTGCTGGCTGGCTGTGCCCCTGGTGTTCCATCAAATGTTATGATTTGTCATGGGATGAGCCACACAGCTCCCCTCTCCCACCCTGAAAGTCTCTAGATGTTTCCAGGTGACATTCGTGGCTGGGGGTTTCAGCGACACTTCCCTTGGACCCTGCCAGCCAAGATGACAGAAGCTGAGGCCACGTGGAGAAGCCCTGGGTGTCTCCAGGAGCATCCGCCAGAAATGCACAGACAATTCAAGATAACCGTGGCCAGCGGCTACCTGAGGAATTCTACAGACCCCACAACCCAGCTGAGCCCAGCAGTCCAGGGAAGGGACATGCAGGGACCATGTAACTTTCTGTCATGCATAGGGTGGTGGCTGCACAGCATTGCTGAGTGGACGCAGGAGGGAGCTCCAAGATACTGAGAGCAAGTAAGAGACAGAAACAGCCGTGGAAGGGACACAGACCAAGGCCTGGAATGAAGATCACATGGCACGGGGAAGGATGGCAGCCATCAGCTGGCTGCAGCTCAGAGCCCGAGTCTGTGGTAGGAATGAAGGGGGTTAGAGGCCAGGCAGGCCAGGTCAGCGGACAAAGTGCATCCTCCCCCATGTTCCAGAGTGACTGTTGCTTCAGTGAGGGCTGAGGGGCAGAGACAGGGAGATGAGGATGCAGCCTACACAGAGGTGAGCGTGGCTGAGGCAAGCAATGGACAGAGGGAGATGGCAGGAGTCACGGACTCTGGGCATGTATGGTGTAAGGGGAGCATGAAGGAGGCCTCAAGGCCAGCTGTTCTGTGCCCATTGCAGGAGTGGGTGGAAAGCCACAGACGAGAGGAGCAGCTGGTGTGGAGGCCACTCACGGGGACTCCTAGTGGAGTGAAGCCCATGGTCGGGGCTGCAAGGCACAAGAGAGATCGAGGTTGAAGTCAGAGATACAAAGGCTGCAGTGGCCTGGTACCCCCCAAAGCCTTGGAGGCAGCCAGGCATGCTCTGGGCAGAGCATGGAAAGAGCAGAGGAGGTCCAGGCGGGTCACCCTGAGGCCAGCACCGCATCATTTTCCCACCCTGCACCCAGCTCACCTAGGCTTCACTTCCATGTCTTCTAGCATCAGGCGTCTGAAGCGCAGAAACCCGTAGCTGCAGGAAGGAAGCATCGAGGAGGTTAAAGACGCAGAGCCCAGAGCTGCTGCCATCCCCTCCCAGCACACAGCAGACAGCCTTCTGGGGAGGCTGTGAGCCCCCAGCATAACCCAGGGGGCTTGTCCCTTCTCAGGACCTGGAGATGAGATGTGGACGCAGGGGAAAGGAGGGGTGTGACAGCTGTAGAAGGTACCCCCTGCATTTGCAGCCTGAGGTTATCTAAAAGACTGTTTCCTGTGTGCATACATGCTCCAGTAGAGTTGGCTTGACCTCTGGGGTTCTAGGACCTTCTAGAAGCCTCTCACAGCTTGGTCCTGTCACTCACCTTCCCCACTCCTGGCCCCACACTCTCCTTGCATGGATGGTGGGGTGAGACTGCATTCTCTAGGGAGCAGGGGGAGGGTGAGCTGGAGCTTGTGCAACAAGTGTCAGGAGGTCTCTCACCAGCGCTGCACAGCTGGGACAGAGACAATTCCGCAAGTACCCACTGGGCTCTAGAGCTGCTGCTTGCCAAGCTGCCCTACCATGTCACCCATATGCTACTTACCCAAGCAAGATCAGGATGAGGCTTATCAGAAAGACCAGCAGGTGGCATTTGGGCTTTCCTGGAAAACAGCAGGGGAAGTCTGATTACTCCCCCTCCTTCTCTCACCTGACCCACCACATCCGTCTGTCCTGTGATTCCCTCGGATTGCTGGCAGAGCTACCAGCCCGATCCCAGAGTGCGCTAACCCACACTTGGCTAATGGTGGAGCCTGTGTCTCCCACAGCTCTTTATCCGGATGGCTCCTCCAACCCCTCAAGGACCCTGGGTCCCTGCACTTTGCACTCCCCATGGCCTTTCCCTTAAGGAAGCAGTTAGGTTGCTAAAATCACAGGGTCAGGAGTCACTTATTCCACAAAGGGTTCTAGCCCCAAGCTCTGGCCCTGGTTCCTTTGCACTGACTGAGCTGTTGTGTTCCGTCTTCAGATGCCTTCTCTGTTCCTCTCCAGGGGTCTGAAGCCAATGACCACAGGACAACTAAGTCTAATAACAAACAAGGTGGTGCCAAGGGGTCGTCCTGCCTTTCTGTATTTTCTGCATCTGTGTGGTGGATTGATATTCAGCTGTAGGGAAATCTGGGTGCAATTTCAGTTTTCAAGAAGCAATTTTGAAGAAAGAGTTCCTTTTCATGAGTTTTATAAAGTCAACTTCAGTAGAGGCATTTCTTTTTCAGAATGGAGTTATGTATTTTGTAAAAGTTACAGAGACAAAGCCGGGCCCGGTGTGGTAGCAGAGTGGCTGGAGTCCTTGCCTTGCACATGCCAGGATCCCATATGGGCACTGGTTCTAATCCCAGCAGCCCTGCTTCCCATGAGCTCCCTGCTTGTGGCCTGGGAAAGCAGTTGAGGACGACTCAAAGCCTTGGGACCCTGCACCCTGCACCCTGCACCCTGCACCTGGTGGGAGACCCGGACAAGGCTCCGGGTTCCTGGATCTGGCTTCCGATCGGCACAGCTCTGACCCTTGAGGCTGCTTGGGGAATGAATCAAAGGATAGAAGCTCTTCCTGTATCTCTTCACCTCTCCGTGTATCTGAGTTTCCAATGAAATTAAACAAATCAATCTTTAAGAAAAAAGTTACAGTGAGAAAGGCAGGAGACAGAGTCAGATCGTCCACACATTGCTGCATTCCCCAGATGTCCACAGTGGCTAATGCGGGGCCAGGCTCAAGCCAGGAGCCTCGTCTGCGCCTCCCACATGGGTGCAGATGGTCAAACACTCGGGCCATCCTCCACGCTGCCTCAGGGCACTAACAGGGAGCTGGATCATCAGTGGAGCAGCCGGGAACTGGCACTCACATGGAATGCTGGCACTGCAGCCAATGGCTTTACCTGCTGCACGGTGGCTCCATCCCCTCGGGGCACAATTTGTACTAGAATGCACCCATTTCAGGGACAGCTGGATGAGATTTGGACCAAGCAAGGGCACCTGTAGCCATCACCCAAACAAGACGCATATTTCCTCATCCGGCACCTTCCTCCCTGACCCCCTCGCACTGCAGGTGAGTGGATCATCTCACACACAAGCACTCCTGCCAGGCGTGCCCTCGCAGCAGGACTCTGAGATGCAGCCGTGCAGACACCCCCAGGACTGGCTCACTCTGCGTCGCTGAGTGGTCTTTTACCTTTCACACACCGCTGGGCGTCCATTCTTTCTCCGACTGGAAGGTGAGTTGGGCTTTGCCGAGCTGTTTTTCCGGTTGTGATCACAAGGTCTCTATCAGCATCCCCGTGTTTCTGTTTCCCTTGAGTAAATTCCTAGGAGTGGAAGGGGAGAGCCACACGGAATACATATTTTGCTTGCTGACAATAAGCCTGTGTCTTTCCCGGCAGGTGGAATTTCCCTCCCCATCAGCAGTGCGCGTGGACAGCAGCTGGCCCACACTCTGCTGGCACCTGAGGGCTGTTCTTTCCCACCCGGCCCTGCGGGGGACACTGCAGGGGTCTCACTTTGCATAGATACTCAACAACTTTCCAGGTATTCAGCGGTCAGTCTACTTTTCTGATCAAGGATCTGTTTAATCTCTGCTCATTTTTAACTGCATTCTTTATCTGGAATTATTGAGCAATGAGATTTGTTTATACGTCTGCCAGAAACAAATATTTCCTCTCAGCCTCTGGTTTGTCTCATGCTCCGAGAGTCCGGATCAAGAGGTTTTGATAGTTCAACAGTTCTGAATTATTGCCAGTCTCGCCAATCCAAGCATCATGAAATCTCTCCAGAATCAACTGGTTGACATAGCCCACCTCAAAGTCTCTGTTTGCCCAGATATTCACTGCCAACATTTGGCTGGGTTAGTTGATCAATTTGTTCTGCCCTCCATCCTCTGTTGTGGTACCAGGTGTCTTCTACAGACTCCAATATACTGCAATATCCTTTTTGTGCACCTGGCTATGCTGTCCTCTGCTCCGTCTAAGTCACTGAGGAGGCTCATCTCTGACAGATGCACTCCACAGTCAGACCATGGAACATGGAATTCTCTTCATGGATGGAGTTCTGAGTCCAGTACTTAGGAGGATCTCCAAAGAAACTTTATCTGAGGTGATCCCAGACCTGAATCTTGTGTGTGCTTGCCAATACAGGGTCCAGCACAGTCTGTTGCCCCAGTCAGCTTATGCAAACGTTGGTGATTGCAATTGCTGGGTCAGTTCTGCTTCAAGCCCTGTCTTCTACACAAAACAATGGGTGTTGCAGCCCAGCCTGATCCTGCCCACCACACACTCAGCTTTCACGTACACCAGTAGGAGTGGCAGCCTAGTCAGAGAGACCCTCAATAATCCCCACCAGTCTCGCCCCCTTGTTCCTGTGCTTGCCAGTATGTACAGCCAACTGGTCCAGTCTGTTCCACATCCCATTCAGCTCTCACACTTGTCAACGGGCATTGAAGCCTAGTTCAACCCAGCCAGCCCCACTATCCAACTCACACACTGCTGGCGAGTGCTATTCTGTCTAGCCATGCCTGCCCCAGTCCTGGTTCTCATGCTCACCAGTAGGAGTGGCAACCCAAGAGGTGGGTGCCCACTTTTTCCGTAATGGGTGCCCACTCCTACTCCTGGATCATGCGCTCTCCAGGTGGTTCTGCAGTTTAACTTGACAGAATTTGTCCCCAGTGCCAGCATCTGCCAGCTGATGCTGGGGCCATGCCCAACCCACCCACACCTACACTGGCTTGTGCTTGCACCGGAAGTTACAATCAACCCAGCCTGGCATTTCCCTAACCCAGCTCACATGAGATCAACAAGTGTTGTAGCCCTACCCAGCCTCATCTGCCCTCATCGCACCTCACACTAACCAGTGGGAGTGGTGGTGCATCTGGGGAGCCCCACGCAGCCCCCATATTGGTTTTGACTTCTTCCCCCCGCCCCAGATCTAGCTGGATACTGTAGCCCAGACTGGCATGGCCTGCCTCACCTCAGCATTTTCCAGTGGGTGCTATAGCCTTGTAGGGCCCAGCCCACCCCTAAATCCAGCTCATGCTGCTGGGAGCTATAGTCGAGCCCAGCCCAGCCCATCCTGCCCCCAGTCCTGTGCCTCATGTGAATTGGCTTGTGTTACAACCCAACCCGGACTGACCCACACCCCATTCTTTTGCTCAGATTTGCCAGCAAATGATGTGAACTGACCCAGCCTGGTTCGCCCCAGAACTGAGCCAAATATATGTTGGTGGATACCATTCCCTGGCCTGGTCTGTGCTGCTCCTTATCATGGTCTTGGCTCACCTGCAGGGAATATGTCCCGACAGAGGAGATCCCCAAGCTCCTCCATCACATCCTCTCCCAGTGCCAGATCCCATGCACACCAGTGGGTCCATGCTAGTCCACCTCCTGTCCTAGCAGAAACAGTGACCTTTCCTGACTGGTCTTGAACCCACTCTGATTCTTACTGTTGGCTGTTACAGCCCAGCCAAGGCTCACACATGGCTCAGCAGGGGCAGACCTAACCTAGACTGTCCTACACCTGCCTTCATCCTCATGAGGTCGAATGAGTGCTTGAACCTAGCCCAGTCCGGCATAGCCCAGATCCAGTCCACACTTGTGCCGAGGGATACTGAAGCCAATACTGAAGCCATGTCCAAACCACAGAGCAGCCCCCACTCTGGCCTTCACACTCACCAGTGGGAGCCACAGCCCTTTGCTCCCAATCCATGTCTGTCTCAACCCTAGATCTTGCTCATGTTAGTGTTTGCCCTGACTCAGTTTGCCATAGCCCCTAGCTGTCTTGGCCTTTTTCTCTGGATGCTGACCTGGCCTGTTTTAGTCCTTCACTGCCTTGTGCTTTGCCTTTGAATGCTGAGGCTGTCTGATTCCAGTCCCAGCTCTCACTGGTGGGTGCTGGAACCTGAGCCTGCAAAGTCTGCTCCCACACCTGGCTCATGCAAACTACGGGTGTGACAGACTATCCCGGCATAACTGAACTCCATCCTGGTTGCTGCACCTGCCAGGGAACTAAGGTTTGCTTAGCCCTGCTTGGTCCTCCCCCTTCAAAAACCAATCCACACATCTGCCAACTGTTGGAGCTTGCCAGACCCCCACGTCTAGACCTCATGCTCTCTACTATGACCCACTAGGGGAGTTTGCCACATTCACCTGCTCAGGCCATTCCCAGGCCTAGATCTCATATATGCCACTGGGTCTAGGTCCTTGCCCAGCATAGTCTGGTCCTCCATCTTGGCCTTGTATGAGGTGGTGAATGTTGCGGCCCGACCTGTCCCACACCCTGCTTTAGGATGCACATGTGGGTGCTGCAGCCTCAACCTGCCCAGACTATTCTTGGTCCCTGTACCCATGAGTGATGGCAGGTTACATGGTGACACTTAGCTCAGTCCATCACCACCCAACACTTGAGCTAACCAGCTGGACTTGTATTTCAACAAGGTTGGGTCCACATATCCCCCACAGAATCTACCCCAGGACCTGGTTCTCTCACTTGTTGGTTAGAGTTATGGTCCTGCCTAATATGACCATTCCCTTGTTCCGACATTCAGTCAGGTACTGGGATCTGGCCCTGCTAGACAGGCCCCCCAGTCCTAGCTTTCACATGGACTCTTGCATTGGATTCTTAT